AATAAATGAATTCTTATACTTTTTTCCACATAAAATTTTGGTATGGGAGACTGAGGGATATATGTAAAGTGATTTTTTTAGTGTCAAAATACTTGGGCAGCGCTTTCAGTTTCATGCTACACTTACATTAATAGTACTACCTCCGTTAAGTATTTTTTTTTTACAAAAATTTATTAGTTTATTACTGGTATATATTGGGAACCAAGGGCCTGTTAGCTGAATGTTTAAGGTCTCTACGATAACTTAGGGGAAGTATGAATGAGTAAATGGGTTGATTTAATACTCAATTAATCATCAAAATGACAGAATCCTTCTGTTTTTGGATGGAAAGTTAATGCTTGTCCTATCTTTGCAGGACAACAATTATTGAGAGTGGACTCTTTGAAATTCTCCCCTTTTTTTGAGTATAAATGGCTTCTTTATTCAAGGTAAGACCCCCATACTCCCTTTATTGTACTGTTTGTTGTAGCTGCCTATCCCATGTAAATGCTTAAGAAATTGAATGACATACAAGATATTAGATAGCTATTCTTGATCTCAACAAGTTTGGACAAAGTTCAGGTGTTTGTTAAATACCACAATCACAGGTAAAAGAGGTGCAGAAAATTTATATTAGATTCGTAAATATTATAACAGTAATTTGCTTGGCTATACCCATCTTACAAATTAGAACATACAGAGTTTTGAAATGTGTTAGAATTGCAATGGTCATCTTGCCAGATAGGCTGTACGCCAGTACTCATCCTTGATTATTACAGAACATTTGCTGTAAAGTATTTACGGCTTTTGATCTTTTTATCAACATTCTCTAATCCAACATAGGTAGATCCTGGAATAACGTGAATGTTTGTAAATTAATGATTTCCTATCATTTATCAGAAAAAGAACTTTTTGGCACAGATCGTCAGTTTAGATTTTTATTGTTGTATTTTTGAGTTGCAATTCCCCTAGTTTTAAGTTTTTAGTTTGTATAAATGAAGAGTTTATTAGTATCTACAACTATGCAACTGAATAGCCATAGGGGGGCAAGTTGCAGTTGATTTCATACACATGGACTATTATGCATGTTTATCATGTAATTTTTTTTAATTAATATTTTTTATATATTTTTTTATCTTAAGCTTATTGTAAAATATTAGGCATTCATGTAATATTAAGCTTTTGATCTATGGCTTGTAATTGAAAGAATTGGTATTCTTTGTGAAACCTGAAATTTTGACTTGATCCTGTTATCGCGGGTCAAAGCTCGGTTCTATTAGATGATTGAAGCATCCCTCGGCTCTAATTGAAATGCTGCCCACTTTTGTTGTTTTAGATTCCCATAATGAATGTCCTGCCAGAGTAGTACATGTATTGGTTAGTGTGTAATGTTTCCTTGACATATCTTCATTACTGTAATGTAATTAGGATTTAAATAAGCTCTCAGCGTACCGAGATAGAAGATTTCCTGGATCCCAAGAAGAATTTGAGGAAGCACTCAAGAACTCAACGACTGTCTATATTGGAAACATGTCTTTCTATACAACTGAAGAGCAAGTTTATGAGCTATTTTCTCGGGTTGGAGAGATTAAAAAGATGATTATGGGTTTGGATAAGAATTCAAAAACTCCTTGTGGTTTTTGTTTTGTATTGTAAGGACTACTTCTCTTCATATTTACTAATCTGAGGTGTATGGAATTTGCCTTAAATTATACAGAGTACATGATTTTCTTAGTATGCTACGCAAAATGTGGAAGCCTTTCTTTATTTAATCAACTATTTTCATGGCATACTTTAAAAACTTGGATGTGTATTTCTGAAAATTGATAAATGATTTTATGAGACACGATTTGGTGATACCTTATTTGATTGATATTTTCTTCTCATGTTAATTTGCATTCCAGTTTAAAGCTCTTCTTGGCCCTCGTCTTACATTATGAACGAAGAATATATTTTGAAATTTATTGAGTTTTTATAATTATCACTATTTTGTTCCACCCTAGCTTTAGTTTCAAATTTTCACCCTCTTTTTTCCAGACTATTCTCAACAAGAACAAACTCATGGTGTATAATAATTTATCTTTTTTTTGCATAAAAACTCTCTTTTGGTTATTTGCTAACTGCGCGTCAACAAACTTGACAATTGTTTTGACTAGTGGCAAAATATGTGATTAAATTTTCCGTACATCTTATTAGACCATCAAATTATATTTGACAGATATTACTCCCGAGAAGATACTGAAGATGCTGTGAAGTATATAAGTGGTACAATTCTTGACGATCGCCCTATCCGTGTGGACTTTGACTGGGGTTTTCAAGAGGGCAGGCAATGGGGACGTGGTCGAAGTGGTGGTCAGGTCTGTTTGTCATGTTGTGTCTCATTCTCTTTTTTTTGTTAGTTTTCTTTTGAGGTTAGATATCCCCTTGTTTAGCTCTTACCTTTCTGCTTATTCTTTCACTGCCCATTTTTCCAGGTGCGGGATGAATATCGCACTGACTATGATCCTGATATCCTTTTTCTATTTAAGGCAAAGCTCAGCTAATATTCTTGGTATCGTGGTTATTGCTCTATCTGAAGGTCGTTTGGTTTATGTAATTCCTATGATAGTGTGCTGTCATGTCATATCTCACATATGCTTTACTTCAATAGGATTAGGGTTCTGCTGTATCTTAGGAGGACTGGAGTCAGGCCTCTTGATTATATGCTCACCTTTTGTTCATTTTTTATTGCTTTCAAGCCAGTAGATATGGTTTTTAATCAGAGGAAGATCAGCTTGTACAGTGATTATACATCACAACATCATACTGAACCCATTGCCTTTTTCTCGTCTGCCATTACTGTTGGGATTCTTGGGACTGAGGGTCGCAAGTGCTGGTTAATTTATATGTTTTAACTTACCTTGCTAACTGATGTACCATTCTTGTAATTGCTCATCATTCAATCAGTTTACCTTAACTCATCGTACGTAGGGGTGGTTATGGAAAATTGGTCCAGAGAGAGCTTGAGGTGCAGAGGACGCTTGTGGATTATGGTGCTGGAGCTCTGGGAGCTTTTCAGCCTGTTATGCCATCTAACAACTGTAAGTTCTTATATTATATCTTGATAATTTTTGGCGCATCATGGCAAACCAAAGAACTCAAAGGTAGGCGCACCGATAGTTAATTAGTATTTCAAATTTGTGTTTCTCTTTAAACTCACTAATGCTTACTACTTGGCAAGTATAAATTGAAAGTGTATAGTGTACCTACTTTTTACAATAGTTATCTTTTCAACTAATTACTTCAGATTGTTTACGTTGAAAATGATGACAAATATTAATGCAGATGGTAGAAATGAAAGAAATCATGGTCATGGAGGCTCCTACCGGCACGGCAGAGGTAACTCCTATGTGACTTCATATTTTTCTCACAGCGTCCTATTGGTTAGTGAGTCAACTTTTGCTTTCTCTTAAATATAAAATGATTTGTTTTTTGGACTAAAAGATTTCCATCGGAAGCGACACCGTGAGGACGATCGTCATCCTGTTGACGTGCCAAAGAGAAGTGAGCATGAACCACGTAGGAACGTTGACCATGAATCTAGACCGGTGGGTTTTATGTCTCTTTTAAACCTTGGTTGTTATTCAGTTGTTCCATCAATGGCTTTACCTCTTAGAGGTAGAAGTCTGGCAAGTGTGAACCACCAGCTACGTTTGGCATTTTTGAGGAGGGCTGCCACTAATTTATTTGCAAATTTTGCAGGAGAAAAATCCACGTTTCCGTGAAAGTGGGGACTCTGATGAAGATGAAGATGAAGACCGGAAGCGTCATACTTAGTCAAACTAGGTAATAGCTGAAAGCATTGTTGATGATTGAAGCTCAAGAGTGTTTAGATTGCAATTTAACTGTAACTTCTGTTATTTTGATAGTTTATCTTTTAAATGTTGTACATCGGTTTAGGTTTGAAGATCTCAAAAATCTGTTCATGCAGCCTCTGAGTGTTGAAAGGTGCAACACTCTTGATATGAGCATGTGAATTTTTTCATTGTGAAATCTTATGTCTCAATGCTGCCATTGAATTTATATATGTTATGGACTAAGAAGAAAGTTCGGTACGAAGTTGCTATCGGACGAAGGAACTTAGTAATACCTTAAACCTTTTTACTACTGAAATACTACCTTCGATATCTCTACTGAGTGTCCAGAAACGCATTTATAATTTTGGCATTTATCAAGACAAGATATTACATATTGGATTTATCATATTTTGTCTGCCTGGCCTAAAAAATAAACAGGGGGTATACGGAGTGATTCGAAATTAGTACTGGGAACCATGTGCAGGTTTTTATCCTACCGGATCATGATTTTGAGTGAGCCACTGAGTGAATTGGTAAAAAGTTTCTTTTGTGTGTGCTGTGAATTTTCACGATATATGCTACTTTCAACATCGACACAATTACACAAGGATAAAGATATTTCCTCCATTTCTTTTTAGCTGACACGTTTTTTTTTATTATTATCTTTTATATAAATAGTGAGGCAAGATTATTTCGATACAAAGTGTATATTATAAAGAATAATGGATTATACTATAGAATCCATTTGAAAGTCGAACAGGTTAGTTTCTTAAGAGTATGTACAATTTTTTCCATTTGAGTACCCCTAATGGCCCTAAATCTATTCCACTTATGGTACATGTACCATTTTATTTTACTCTTACCGTCTTCCCTGAACCAAAATATTGTAAAGCGCATGAAATGTATTTGGTGCATATTCAATCCATCAGAAGTAGCTGAGCACCACCATTAACAATTTTTGTTTACACTAATCAAGCATAAAGACTGAACAATTTAATCGCTAACAGTCCAACAAGATGAACGAGCCTTATATTTAGCACAATGTGTTTCAATAATTAAATGACCAGTGAATTACTTCCTCCGCTCCCCTAAGATTGCCTTATTAAAGTATTGTTGTTAAATTTCTGGTTGGGTGAAATTGATGAAGTAGAAAGTTCGATCAGATATAGTGTGTTAAGAGCAAGGTTGTGTTATATCATAATTGATTACGGTAAGAGGTAAACCAAAAGAGAAATAAAAAAAATTAGGGCAATCTTAGAGGCACGAAGGAAGTAGATGAGAAAAGGTAGGAAATTATGAAACGTCGTTCATTGACGACAACACTTTTATGTTGACTGGTATTTTAAGCTTTTAACATCTACCCAATAGCTTGCATTAACCAAATCTGAAAAAAATTTAATACCCAGCAACCATTTTTTTTTTTTTTTTTTAACAACTGCTAACTGTAAGTCTCCCTACAAAATCCACTATTACACTGGTCAGAGAACTGACAATACCAAAAGGGAGGAAAATTAGGGGTGCTACTGATAACAATTATTTAAGCATGTGACATACAAGTATCTATAAAATTAATGAACTGCTACCCCTCCTCCAAGGACGAAAATTACTGTACATGAGAAGATACTATCTAGTATCTACTACTGTTGTGAAAATTCAAGAGTGCATAAAATCACATGACGAACCCTTCCTGCAATGGCCGTTTTCATGGAATCTGCAGACTCCTCTTTGTCCTCCACTGCCAAATGATGACTGCCTGTTCCATTGAGTCCCTCCGTCATTGCGGTTATCACGAGCCCCTCCATCATTGCGGTTCTGATCACCTCCCCATGCACCTGTGTTCCCAGGTGCAGCAACCCAAACCATGTTACTGTTTCCAGCAGAGGGATTGGGTCCTGTACCCGTCCAACCCACAGTTGGCTGCGCAGCAACCATAGCTGGTGCTCCTGGTGAAGGGCTAGTCAATTGTTGGCCCATAGCAACAGCTGGTTGCCCAGACCATCCTACATTTTGGTTTACTGGCTGTTGCTGTTGTGCGCCCCATGGCATGTTGGCCTGAGTAGGTCTCCAAGCATTGTTCGCAGGCATAGCAGGAAAGTTTGCGGCAATAATCCCTTGTCCTGGAGGGTATCCAGCAGCATAAGGTGGAGGCTGGTTATTTACAGCAGCACCAGTCCACTGACTATAAGAGACTTGTGCGGGCAAAGCATTTTGATTATTGGATGTCGACACATTTGCATTCACCATTTCTGGTCTTGCAACATAACCAGCTCCCCAATTGTGAGTATAGACAGGAGGATTTTGTCCAGTGCCTGGTTGAACAATGTTGGAGAAGCCCTGACCAGCACCCAAAGCATTGGGTCCCACTTTCGTTTGGTTCATTGTGGTATCAGAAGGGACAAATGGTTGATTTGCTGCTGCATGTAAACCTGCTTGTGATGACATTTGTTGGGCATTTACCATACCTGTATTGGAGACAAACTGAACAGGAGCATGTTGAACTGTTCCCATAGGTGCTGCCACATTTTCTGGCTTGTTCCCAGCTACTTCGCCCTTAGATTGTTGAGAAAATTTGGCCTTATCCACACCGCTTGGATTTGAAGCAGGTGATGTGGGGGTAGGAGAAGGTAATCGTTCGTTCCCTCGAAATTGATTAGTTGACTGAAAAGAACTAGAAGTTTGCATTCCACTCCAGGCAGCTGGGCTTCGTCCAGGAGTTGGAGATGGGAGGTTAGAGGAATCATATCTGCTACCAGAGAGTTTGGAAGCATCCGTTATAGGCAGTGTATTCCTAATATTTGAGCTAACATCTAAATTTGATCCTACGGGGTGGGGATCCTTCTGAAACTTTCCAGCTAATGCTTCAGTTAGAAGAATAGAATCATCTTCAGTTAGAGAGGCTCTCCAAATTCTTAGTTCAGCAGGAAAGTATCCTGTGCTACTCCATTTACGAAGCTGTGTCATAGAGAATGGTCCCTGGACCTTTCCAGTTGGATCTCTATAATGCCACATTTTTTCTTTCTCGTCAATTTGTCCATCAGTTTGAACTGCTGCAGAAGATAAAGGCAGAGTAGGTTCTGATGCAGCCGCCACAGATAAATCTGATCGTATCCCAGAATGTTCAGCCCGATTGCTCATCAACGAATCCGGAATACTCCTTGGTTTCTCCCAACTATTTGACTTAGGTGTACCCTTGTCTACCCCATTATTCCAAGTATGCTCACTTCTCTGTGGGGAAAGAGTAGTATCGTCCCTTCTGTTTGAGAAACCCTTACTGGACAAATTTCTGCCTGGTTCCCAACTCTTGTTCGGAGGTCTTGCATTTGCACTCCGTGATGAATAATGATCTCTACCCCTTCTGAAATGACCACTTTCTCTTGGTCTCATGTTACTTGCTGCATGCAAAAATACAAAATACAAATTTCAAAATAACAATCACTACAATCAAGTTGACTTCGTAGGTCATGGACATACCTTGTCTTTTATCATGTTCAATTTCATCATCAGACTCACAGCTAGGATCCATTTTTGGATCTGCATGAACTTCTGGAACTTCATTCAACCTTCGTTGGCGTTCTTCTGGAGTCTTCAGAAGCTGCAATTTCTCCACACATTCTCTGAGCGTAAAGGTCAGTTAAGGACAACCAGAAAATAATGATGTCATCATACCAAACAAAAGCTTTAATAGCATACTACATGAGCAAAGCAAGACTTGAACTTTATGCATATGTCACATTATCCCAAAGCAAAACTCAATCACACACTCTGCTTCTAAACCATGATATTGAACCTTCTATAGAAATAGGACCTATTCTCCAAAGATTCTGCCAAAATTAAATGATATCCATAACACAAACCTCCAAAGGAACTCTCTCAAACATGCACTGATTTTACAATGTTAGGGAGATATCAGTCAAATGTCAAGAAAAATTCAAGCAGTAATAGCAAAAGACAGATGGGGTGTTTAGTTCACAAAATCAAGGTATGAAATATGGTTTTAGAAAAGTTTGAACCCATACCATGTGTTTGGTAGATGATTTTAAGACATTTAAACTCGTACCTCAAACCCACAAGGTATGGGGTTTGGAAACCTAGGGGGGAGATGGGTTTAGCTCATACCAATTCTTTCAGGTATCAAATAAAAGAAAAAAAAATTATTCCAGAATTGAACCAAGCACATGATATTAAATTTTAAGTCCAAAAGGCATGGTATTAAGAATACTCTGAAGTTGATCAATTCAGCCTGTTTGTAACAAAATTGTGTGTTGAAAATAAGGGTCAACGCTTTGGAAATAAACACAGGCTAAAGCAGTAAAGATGTAAAGTACACAAGTTACACATCCAATTAAACTCAACTATAGCAGGCATACAAAATGAAGAAATACTCTTCTAAATTTTTATCAGCTGCTTAATAGGAGTAATTTTGGCTGGTACAGAGTGAAGAATACAAAGATAAGAATGTTAAGATGTCTTTTAGGCATCACACTGAAAGAAAAAAGACTAGAAACAAAGTTAAAATTAAAGGCAACACATACGACAGAAGGTGAAAGCCTCAACGTGATAGGCAATTCAAGAGAGGTGTTTCAAATTTCAACAGTAAAGACAAGATACTGATCAGATATTGGAGTTTCCCTGAGATAGGTTTCAAAAGAAAAAAGTAACCATGGAACAGACTAACAAATTGAACAAGGAATCTTTATTCACAATACAACAGTCAGAACTTATATTGTCTCACTCACATAAACACAAAGAAAGAAAGGAGAGACAATATGCACAGATCCTAGTACAGCATCTTCATGAAGAATACAAAAAGGAATTGGAACTTAATAAAAAAAAAAAAAAAAGGTAATTAATTTATGAAAAGAAGGTTCCTTTAGTTGTTGAAACACTTTCTCCTTTATAAAAACCTTTTAAACAAGCAGAATTCTATATAGAAATCCAACTATAATTCCTGCACATGTATCACCATCTACATCTTTCTCCATAACTACAAATTTCAGAAAAGACCAGCTCAATAAAACAAGAAATAGATCTGAAAATCTGAAAATACAAGGTAAAACAATATCATGATAGCTAGATTCAAAAAAAAAAAAAAAAACACTATTGCAAAGATGCAAGGTGAATGTGATCAGAAGATGGGATTGTATTGTAGTGTAGTCTAGTGTGCATTTTCTCACTGAGCATGGATTAGCAAAACACAATCTAACATTGAAAAAATTGCTTGAGGACATATCAAAGATAAATATTGTCTGTAATATAGACTTAATGACTAAACAAAGCTAATCCTCTTTAGTGTTGGTGTTTAAATCTAGCTTCCCATCTAGATTCTATTTTCACCTCTCCCCTCTCTCTAAACCTAATTGCCTTAAATATATCCTCCTCAAATAAGCTTCAATAATTAACAGAAAATTTAATATTGGCAATCTAGTCAAAAGTCTGTAGCATGTACACCATATATGCCATTTAAACATTAGAAAGATAATACCAAAAGACACAGACTATATAATGAATTGAAACGCAAGTTACTTTACAAACATTGCAAGTGCATAACAGATGTTATAGTACTATGAAAAGGATATTCTTTCTTACGTCCAGTTTCACTAGCTCGATCACGAAGATGACTAAGCCTGACTACCTCAGCTTCCAGCCACTGAGAAGTTATGGCAAAAGTATTAATTGTTGAGCCTCGTGAATATATAATACAGATAAGCAAATAATAAACTTTTAAATTTGAACTCCACAAGAGTTGAACAACACCTCACCGAACAGGTGTTGATGAACAAACTAAATAACAAGGACCACCACACAGGTTCAAACAATAGCCACTCCATCTTTACAAATCCTTACCTTGTCAACAACAATATAATAAATAAACCATATATAATACCAAACAACAATAAAGTAAATAAAGCTCCACAGTAAGTCAACAGTATTGTTTAGCCTTAGGGTTGCTTTTAAAGACAAAAAATATATTTAGAAAGATTATTGTTTTTTTACCAATCCATACATAAGTTTTATTGAATACAACATTAACAACTTTGAAAAATGACCTATAATAGAGTAACAACTACCCCGAACAATAGTACAACACCTAAAAGATACTATGACAGAAGCTACTATAACAGGCGCTTTTGGCAAAATAGGACCTAAGGCAGCGAAGAAGCAAGCAACAAAGCTTCAGGAAACACAACATAACCCACATAAAGCAAAATACTCAAATTCAAAAGAGGAAGGTGCTTAGTTACTCACATCAGTCACTCTGACTTCCTGCAGTTCCCTCGCCTTTTCCAGAATATCACCCTGAAAGAAAATAATTCATCTCAGTAGCATACAAAGTCCAAGCATTTTAGTCCTCATGTTGAGCCAAATAGCCTTACCACTGTCATCCTGCTGATAAGTCCACATTTTATACTCTGGCGCAATCTCTTGCATTCATCCTAACATCAAAACAAGATAAAGTTTACACTCTCTTAGAAGGAAAAGGGAAGATTACAGACACTGCTGCATGTAAAAAAGCACAAAATTGGCCACTATCTAAGGCAACAAGCAGTGCATAAAACTGCTGCCATGGTAAGACCTCCACATGACATATATTACACAGTCCCACCTATAACTGCATGCCTCAACAAAAATCAGAGTGTCCTACTACTTCCTTAGTTTCTCAATTCGTGCATCACTTTGCCTTTCACATATGCCAACAAACAATTATGACCATTAATAATTTTAATTATGTTAAGGATATGTATCAGGATGTGTCAACAAATGTGAGGACATGTGGAGGGTTGACAAAAGATTTCCCTATCACAATTGGATTGCATCAAGGGTCTGCATTAAGCCCTTTTCTTTTTGCAACGAATCTAGATGAAGTAACTAGACCAATTCAAGATGAAGTTCCATGGTGTATGTTGTTTGCGGATGATATCGTTTTGGTGGATGAAACTAAAGATGGGGTTAATGCCAAGTTGGAGCAACGGAGGCAAAGGTTGGAATTTAGAGGGTTTAAATTAAGTCGGAGTAAGACTGAATATTTGGTATGTCGCTTTGGTACTCAAAGGGGGACAAGTGATGAAGTGCTGAGTTTGGATGGAAAGGAATTGACCATGAGTGAATGTTTTGAGTATCTTGGGTCATCATCCAGAAAAATGGTGACATTAATCAAGACGTGGCCCACGGGAATAAGTCGGGGTGGCTTAAATGGAGAGCGACCACGGGAGTGTTATGTGACCGAAGCATTTCCTTACAGTTGAAGGGAAAATTTTTCGGGATTGCCATAAGAGCAGTGTTGCTCTATGCTACAGAATGTTGGGCTTCTAAGAAGGAACACATAAAAAAGATAGAGGTTATAGAAATGCGCACATTAAGGTGGATGTGCGGGAACACTATAAGAGATAGAATCAGAAATGAGGTTATTCGCAAGAAAGTAGGTGTGGCAAGCATTGCAGACAAACTAATCGCCTGCGATGGTTTGGGCATGTAAGATGAAGACCCGAGGGTGCACCGGTTCGAAGAGTGGAAGAGTGGGACCATGGAGGGGTTAAACGATGGAGAGGGAGACCGAAAATGACTTGGTTGAAAGGAGTTAGGAAGGATATGAAGTATATGGATTTGCATGAGGATAAAGTATTGGATTGTAAGGAATGGAGGAGGAAAATAATCAATTTTGGTTCATGTAGCCGACCCCACTTATGGGATTAAGGCTTTGATTGATTATGTTAGCATAAAATTATAAAATGTTTCTTGAAAAACACATTGAAATTAACCCAACAGTTTAAAAAATGACATTTAACTAGTATGTGAATTGTGCATAAAGTTAAGTTATGCTTGTATTAAAAACCTGAAAGAAATTGTTTAAAAGAGATGGGAAGTAGAAGACACTTGTCACAAAATTTAATTGTTGCAAGTTTGTAGATAGTGAATAATAACATAAACCATTGATCACTAATAACTCCCAAGTTGTTGCAAATGATAACACAAAACCATGACTGACAACCATCCCCTCAATCTCGTTTCAAAATATTAGCCACTTACATTTTTCGAGGCCAATGTTATACATTACTTTCTTTAACCAAGTAAAGAAACCTCCACTGATAAGAGGGAATTTCAAAATGTTTGGCTGAATATATTGACCGTAAAATGTATCATTGTAGAAATCGGAAAAGCATTTTGGATACATTAAAGTAGAAAAATATTTATATAATACAGTTATTACAGATGGGTAACATCCCATTGGAAGAATGCTTTGGTTGTTTTCAAATGAGTTAATCCACCCCCACCCCACTCCACCCACCCCCTTCAGGAAGAGATCTTGAATACAACAGAACATATATCCACATCATATTATTCCACTTTTGACCCATGTGGCCATGCTCAAGTCACTAGTGTAGAGCAGCCATAAAAACATCAAAACTTTCACACACAAAAAGACCGCCAAAGGAGGTTGATTAAACAAAAAAAAATTGCAATGTACATAATCACCTCTGTAAATTCCTGATTGGATATAGTATCTATTGGTACAATCTCTGTCTTGTCCAAATTCAAGATCTCAAGCATAACATCAGTTGTCCTTTTACCGACTTTGTACGATTCAGGTGCCTTGTTTGTACCTGATTTAGACAAAAAAATGAGTCTTCATTTTATTTAAGACTGCATTACAAAAAATAAAACATCATAAAAATTTGGTTACCAATGATTTGCACAAGCCTGTAAATGTCCTGCTTTTGGCTGCTACCAGATATTCTTATTCTGACAAAAGAACCGACAATCTTGTCATGGAACGTTACAGGATCATCCATGAGAGGCTCCATTACGCTCCGGCGCAAGTAAATTAAGTTAATATTATGCATATCTATGGCAGCATAATCATCGAGGTTGGACTGCCCCCTCTCTTCACCTCTTTTACGAGATTTTTTCCCCTTACTTTTGCCTGAACCCCATAAAGGATCAGTATGATCATCAACATCATAGTGACTGACTTCAGTATCAATAACACTTTCATGATTATCATCTGCACGAGCATCCTCTTTCAGAAAAAAGTGTGATTCAAGCAGCTTTAACATTTCAAAGTGACCAACTCGTGCTTTTCCAAATAGCTTTTGAAGCATTGAATCACAAAGTATTTGGCTTTGTCGACGTGGATCACGAAGTTTATTTATTTTAATATATTCTAGCAAGAGTCCCTGCACATCAAACTGAGTAAGAACAGAGCTATCACCATTTTTCATGTGCATCACAAACTCCAATAGCTCCTTTGATGCCCACTCAATATTGCCTTCTGCAGTAGCAGAACCACCGCCCTTTGAACGGGACTTAGCCAGCCTTCTGGCCCTGCTCCCCCTCTTTGAACCCTGGTTTCCTGAAGAATGTTCTGAATCTGAATATGTCTCCTTAGCCTGGGATTTTAACCTCCTTTTAGATTTTCTTTTCACCGTGCCTGTTTCCTTCTCAGAAGAGCTGTCTGTACCAGAATCTTCTGGCTTTGACTTTCTCTTGGCCCTCTTCCTTCTTAAATCAGTCACTTCTACGTTTGGAGGAGAGCTGTCAGAATCAGTTCCCACATCATTACTACCCTCAAGTAGTTCAGCTGGTGTTCGTCGTCTATTAGTTGCATCAGAATTCTTCCATGGATTTTTTGCTTTTGCTAGCTCATCAGATGTAATACCCAGTTTCCCTTTTTGTTCAATCCAGTAATCTTTGAAGAGATATTCCCAGCTACTCTTGTCATCGAAAGCAGCATGACTCTGAAAAGAGAATGAGAAAGAATGAAAGATGAATTCAAATAATGCAGAGGAAAATACTTTGTAACAAATTAAATGATCTTCATTCAGTCAACCAGAGGCAATATGAAATACATATTTGACAGCAAAGTCATTTATAAGTGCTATGTAGCATCTTCTTTTGCCAGTAAATGCAGCCAAACTCCAAATATAATGCAGGGCATGGTGCAAGGAAGAAGTACAGAAAAATCCCATATGGTTAATACTCCGTTTAAAAAAAAAAAAAATCAAACCACCCACCCCACCAAGCACACAGACAAACTATGGTAATTTTGACAAATTTATATCCCCTCCAATCACATCAAACAAATCATGAAATAATACCCATGTGTCACCAAAATCAGATGTAATAGTTTCTATTTAGCACCATTATGTCTAAAAAACCAAGTCACAAGTAAGAATTAATTCCAGGCATCAATTTAACAATGAAGAAGAAATGGGGCAAAATTATCAACTCAAGCTTACAAGCAGTAGTAGGACTAGCAAGATGGCCCTGTATAGCTTAACATCATATAAACAAAATAGATGACTCCCTCATTTTTTTCCCACTACAAATTAGGACCCCAAAAGATATTTGTGAAAATACTTCATATCCATCAGTTTATAGCCTTTAAAGGAAGGGATGATTTATGAAGATCCAATCTACCCAATAAAAAAAAAGTGGGAACATTAGAGATATTTCAGTGTCATGCTACTTTCAGATACTTTGTTTTTTCAAGCAAGAGTACATCTCATAAATAGAAGCTCGCATTACTTTGTTAGCAGAACTAGCTTCCTTTGATTTAGATAGGGCAACAGTAGGTGTTTGACGTGTGCAAACTGAATCTAGACTTTTTACTGTAGACATTCACGATATACATTGAAACAGATAGGGTAAAACTCCTCTTAGCACAAAGACATGTAGCTTTCACTTCCTTAAGCAAGTTCCTAGCTTCACATCACTACATAAGTAACCAGTTGATCATCCTCATGGCCCTTGAATTAATCTATGCTTCGGATATGTTAGGTTCAGCCATTGAAGAACAAATCTAATAGCCTACAAAAGGAGGTAAAAAAATAGAAATACTTCCATCTTCATTTTCCTAAGAGTTCCCTAGAGTACATAAACATAAAATGATTAAAGCAGATGTGACAACTCCAATCCCTCTGTCTCCTTCTCAAACTTCCTCCCCATGTTAATGGCGACTCTTAATGAATCTGTCTTTGTTGTTGCTAGCCAACAACCAGTCAGGATTTACAAGTCATTGGCAAGACCTCAACCGGTCACTCCTCTCCTCCAATCCTCACTCCCTCATTTATATCTTCCCCCTGCAACACTTTGACAAATTCTTTCTTTCCCTACCCCGGGCAACAGGACACAACATGAGACAGCCAGGCTCACCAATGGTCACAAGATCATCCAGGGGTCTTTGCCCCTCTCTCAACCAGTTCCCCATCCTTAAACATGAAAGTTAAGGGTTAAATTTCAAATGTTTAAATTGGTGGAACAAACAGATACAATTCAAAATAGTTTGACAGACACTGCCATATTGTTAAATCCATGGTGATATTCTACTTGCTTTATCTCTGTTTCCTTCTCATCTAATATCATTGTAGGGATATCAGCTATATCATTGGTGGTACGACAGTAACCAATTTTTCCAGTTTTGACTATTTCTAGATTGTTTAGTTTCAGTTTACACTCTTAACAAAGATAGTCTCTCTGTATGTGGAAGTTTTTGTCTTTGTAAGACTTGGTTCTTTGTCTCGCTTGTGGTCCAAGTATCATTAATTTTCTCATAAGATTTCTCTTTAGAGCAATTATAGCATGGATTGTTGACTGTATACAATCAAGCATCTCAATACGTCTTCCAAATCCTTTGTACTTACACGTAAAAATGTAAAGATTGTTTTCCAGAGATATTCTTAGAGTGCAATGTTTTGAGTTGGCATGTTAAACCTCAGAAATTTCAGGTAATAACACAAAACTATTAATTTCAGAGCTTAAAGTACTCTAATCAATATTTTGGAAAAAAAGGGGGAAAAAAGGTTTCAGGAAATCAACAATTTAGGAATATCTGGTGTTGACATTGCATATACAAATATCACTAAGCAACATTTACAGCTCTTTCTAGCATAGAGTAGTGAGTTGAGACCTACGCAAAGTCCTTTTTCTGATGGAACCAAGATGATCACAAACACTTGGCTCTGCTAAAATATAGACTATTTTGAAATGGTTCACTGAAACTTTCATATCCTTCTTATTGATAGAGATATATCATGTGGACGTTGTATTGCGAATCAAGTGTAGAAGAAGAAGAAGCTCTGACAAGGTCTCACCAACCATATATGACATGCATTTGTGTTGATATCCATGCCACAGCCAGAGAACACGTTTCACGAGAGTAGAAAAAGAAGAAAATAAAAACTTAACCATAAAAAGAAAGAAAATGATTATGTACCATCGTGTTTTGTTCACTATTTTCAATCATCGTTACAGCTTTCATGCAGGATTCACAAAAGCCTTTGGTTCCTCTAACACAAAATATAGCAGCATCTTTACTGCATCCTTTGCACAATGAAAATGTACAGGTATAACACAAAAAGTAGGCATTCTTCCCACATTGATTGCAGAGATGCCAGCCTGTTCATAAGGTGAAAAAAGATAAAAAAAAAAAAATCAGCCACTGTGATATTAAAAAAAGGAAAACAAAGTGGTAAGGGGGAACATAATATAAGATGAATTGGACATACTTGAGAGTAATGCAAGAATATGAAGCAAGTAGCAATTAAAACATCACCAACTAGATAAAAGTACAAACCAAAAACTCTTAGAAGGTTTCATATTTGTGATGCCAAACAGCAAAGCAAGGAATCTGCATTTTGGCTGATTATAAAACTTACAATTATCATTTTAATATCAGTACTTCAGGTTCAGACACTGTAGCTTTGTTACTCATCTAAAATCATGAATATGTATGCACTCACATTAGCAGCAAGCCAGAATTGCCGCACTGAAACAGCACCAAGACACAAGAATGTGTAGTCAGCAGCACAAACAACTGCAGACATTGTGATTGCACTTTAAATATAGTAGACCATGAATCCCAAATCATGAAAGACTGTGAGGGCCTAAGGGGGATTATTGCAAAACACAACCTGGGAAGTGTGATTGGGTACTGCAGACTGTAACATGCATAAATTTCAGATACTTTGTAGTATAAAGAATCAAGGATTTTCAACTGGCCACAATATAAAAGTACATTACCAGCATGCAGTTCTTCCACATAGCTGCACCAGTTATTCTATTACAGCCTTTACACTCCCCTATCAAACAGATTATAATTTTCATATAGGATTCTATATGTATATTTCTCTTCTATAGTATCACAATATTCAGGCCAAGGTTTATTACCTGGAAGTAACATATATCTGTCTCTTTCTCTTCCTTTATTATCTTGACTAGCCATTTACTCATAAAGGGAATTAGCGGAACAACTTTTGTAAAGACCGGGAAAAGGAAGGATTATTAGAATCAAGACGAAAAAAAAACTCTAACAGTAGACTTTAGGGTACATCAGTTCCCCTTCCCTAGAGAAAAAAATCTGAATTGACAGTAAAAAGAGGAGTCCATAAAAGGTACAGACCGTACAGCTACACAAGATATATCTCAATTATATGATTATATCCTCGAACCATGCCCGTAACCTTTTGGTTTAGGGCCTAGAATGAAAGCTCTCACATGACAGTAGTTCTCTCAGGCAATAATAAAATAAACTAGCCTCTTTCACAAAATCAACATAGAGCCTGCATACCTTAGCGGAGCCACAAACTATATCATATGGGATTTTTTAACAGCCATAATCAAGTATTCAAGAATTCTAACAGCCTAAAATTCTTATAAATGACAGCCTTGCAAGTTGTAATATGCATGAGCAATGTCCAGTGAAATATTATTATCAAAATAAATTCACATCTAAATGTTATTAACTTTCCTGTGGTCAAGTACTAGGCTCAATATGCAAAACTAGTTTCAATATAAAACATCTTAAAATTAAAACTCATGTAAATTGCTAATTGGCATTGAGATTATACAACCATAATACTCCCCTTGTCATCAAACTATTTTTCTATATACTATATTGGTCAATTCATATTTACCTGCAACAGAAATTTTACTTTATCCAAGCAACTCAACGTCTCAACCGATGTGCTATGGGATTCACTCTCTCTATGTATTTCAATGTGATGTGGAGCCCAACACAAACATTCTCATGTTTTACCCTTACTTTTGTACTAACAAACAAACAAACAACATTACAGCCGGGATTAATGCTCTCGATTGGTAAGCCTAACTTAAGAGGGCAATTATATGAGGATGATGTGAGTAGCAACTATTATGGATGTCCCCAACAACAAATCATTTAGGATTTTAGGTTAAAACAATGACAGTTAAATGAAACCAAAGGAGATGATACACATGAGAATTTGGCCTAAACAACAAATCCAAAACAACACAAAATTAATCAAACTTACCGCAATTCCATTTACCCTTTGATTGGAAAAACTCCTCATCATGATCCACGCAGGAAGGATGATATGCCTTGGGGCAGCCCCTGAACCACCAAGAATATAGACTTAATATATTAGCATCTTTCAGTAATCCATCCTTTTTCCTAAAATTTGAGACATCTGCCCATTATACAAGTTCCCTTATTTCAAACCATCTATTCATATATAAGTACACATGCAGCAGTACTTCCAAAAGTATATAGTCAATCCTAAAACACAAACCCCAATGCATGCTACCATATATGCTACATGATACTCCCTCACTAACACTAACGTCGGGCCACGCCAACTATGAGAGGGCATATCATTAGCAAGCTGTTATCAGCCCCAAAACTCCCTCCAATCAAAAATGCTAGACCACTTAGCTAACTTTTTTCATCCAAATCATTTGCCTCTTAAAATATAAATGCAATATCCCTTGACCACTCAAGTTACAAATACAATCTTAGTCGCAGGTTTACATACCAATGAACTAATATGCCCCCTTAAAAGTTCCGTATTACTTCAAACAACAATGAAACTGGAATAAAGGTAGTAATCATACAAATTACAAATGCAATAACTAACAAGTTCAGCATAAATGCTTAACATTTTTCTTTAATATATTGGAAAGGACCAAAAGGTAATAAATGATTTAAAATAACAAGCACTCAAATTTGCAAAACAAAGATATAACTTCCTATTCACAAGTAAAGGTACAAACCTCCGGTCACATAGCACAAGATCCCCTCCATCAAGACATACAAAGCAAACATCTTCACCCACAGTCTTCCTCACTGGAGCCTTCGTTGGAGTGGTTGCCTTAGAATTCCGTCCACGTCTCCGCTTCCCACCACTACCACTGCCACTACCAGGCTTCTCCACTTCCATTTCTGCATCAGCAATTGGCGTCTCTTCTCCTTTCATTAGTTCCTCGTCTTCTGCCACAACTGATGAATCCTCTATTTCCCCACCTTCTCTCACATCCTCTTCCGTTTTGTCAGCTTCCTCCACTCCTTTTGCCATAAACGGCGAATCCTCCATTTCCCCGCTTCCTTCTCTAGCATCTTCTTCCGTTTTGTCAGTCTCCTCACCTCCTTCTCCCACTACCTGTGATGCCTCCTCACCTCCTCCTTCTTTCACATCTACTTCCACCTTGTCAGCTTCGTCACCTTCTTCTCCCATAACCGCCATTACCTCCTCACCCCCTTCTCTCACATCCTCTTCCACCTTGTTAGCTTCCTCACCCTCTTCCACTTTGTTAGCTTCCTCACCTCCTCCTTCTCCCACAACCACCAAGGCCTCCTCACCTCCTCTCACATCTTCTTCCACCTTGTTAGCTTCCTCACCTCCTTCTTCAACAACCGCCGATGCCTCCTCACCTCCTTCTCTCACATCTTCTCCCACCTTGTTAGCTTCCTCACCCTCTTCTTCTTTCACATCTTCTTTCATCTTGTTATCTACCTCACCCCCTTCTTTTCTTACATCCTCTTTCAACTTTGTAGCTTCCTCACCCACTACTTCTCCAACAAACTCATCCACCTTGTCAGCTTCCTCACCTCCTTTTTCTCCCCCAAACTCATCCACCTTATCGGCTTCATCACCTCCTTTTTCTCCTCCAACCTCTTCCCCCTTGTCAGCTCTCTCAACTCCTTTTTCTCCCTCAAACTCTTCCAGCTTGTCAGCTACCTCACCTCCTTTTACTCCCATAGATACTTCCACCTTATCAACTTCCATACATCCTTTATCTCCCGCAACCTCTTCCAGCTTCTCAGCTTCCTCACCTCCCTCTTGTTTCCCCATAAACTCTTCCGCCTTCTGAGCTTCCACACCTCCCTCTTGTTCACCCATGACCTCTTCTACATTCTCAGCTTCCACACCTCCCTCTTGTTCACCCATGACCTCTTCCGCATTCTCAGCTTCCACACCTACCTCTTGTTCCCCCACAACTTCTTCCGCCTTCTCAACTTCCTCACCTCCCTCTTGTTCACCCATGACCTCTTCCACATTCTCAACTTCCTCACCTCCCTCTTGTTCACCCATGACCACGTCCGCCTTCTCAACTTCCTCCCCTCCCACTTGTTCACCCATGATCTCTTCCGCCTTCTCAGCTTTACCTCCCTCTTGTTCTCCCATAACCTCCTCCGCCTTCTCGACTTCCTCGACTCCTTCACCTCCCAACACCTGGAATTCCTTCTTAGCTTCCTCGCCTCCCACCTCTTCTTCCTCCTCCTCACCTTCCTCGCCCCCTACTTCACCTCCCACACTGACCCGTCCCTGATCAAGGGCAGGCCCAGGGAGAAAAGGTCCATTTTCATGGCTTTTTCGCCCTGACATTAAATAGTTATATAAACCAAAACCTGCAACACATTAGCAACCAAAGTTGACACAATTATCAAAGTAGGCTCCAAAAATTACGATAAATTCTTCTCGCTTAAGAACCCTAAATTGACTATACTGATAATCAAATTAACGATAGTGTGAAATTAAACCCTAGAATTCGAAATTGATGTGACGATTAACAATGAGAGAACAGAAAAGAAAAAAAAAATATCATCTTACCTCGAAAGCTTCTTCAATGGCGGAGAGAAAGCTCACGAGCCGCAACAATGGAGAAATTCAGAGTACGCTTCAATGGAGAATAGAGAGTGCAGCGAGACAGCGCAAACGTGAAATGGAGCTAAAGAGAGAAAACAATAAAAAAGATATACGAGGAATTACGATGACACGCCTATAAAAATTAACTGCAAAGGCCAAAGGGTTAAAAAATTAACTCATTCGAAAATTTCACATTAAATTAAACCACATAAGCATGAGTAGTATTAGGGGGTGTTTGGTTAAATCCTTAGAGGAGGGGTGGGTATGGAATTCCATGGGTACGGGGAGAGTTAGAACCCTTTGGTTATGAGATTTCATAACTAAAAATTTCAACCAAACAAAAAATTAGATCTAACCCATTCCAAGTAATCCAACCAAACAACCCATTAATGGTTTGATTTGAGAAACCTTAGATCCAAATCCATTAGTAATTTAGTAAGATACGGAGTATAAATGATTAGATTATGTACAACGAAACTCAATCTATAACTGACTCATAGTATAGCTAGAAACTAAATAAACTTGATAATTCTATAACTGAACTCGATTCACCGTACGATTAAATTTTACTCAAAATCAATTAGGCCCAAAAATTACCTTAAATTACTCGAACTTGTCATTACCTGACCCACTTTACTTAAATTGTTTTAGCCCAACCTAAAACTATTTATCAACCCACCATAACTTAGACTCCACATATTACTTACCATACTTATTTAAAAAATAAAAATATTAACTTAATTTAAAATGTTATTTATTTTTTGATAGAAAGATTCATGTTGGTCGGCATAGATAAGTTAAGTTCAGCCTTCAAATAAATATAATCAATTTACGTAATTTATTTATTTTTGTAAAATAAGTTAAACAAAAGTTTGGCAAAAATAAGTTACGTTCAAATATAATTGTAAATTAGTATAAATAAGTACTAGTTAATAAAATTAAGTTGAGTTCACTAAAAATAATGTAAGTTAAAAAAAATAGTTTTAGCTTGGCAAATATAAATTAATATTGATACAAAAAGTAATTTCAATTTAGCAAAAATAATATAAGTTCATCATAAACAATAAAGACTAAATGTTATTTTTTTTAATCAATCTAAATTATTAACGTTACTAAACTAAACAATTTCTTGTAAACGTTTTTTCCAACATAAACCGACATTTAAACTTCTTATTTGTAATTTTTTTTGTTGTTGTTGTTATTACAAATCTGGCGGGAAATACTGCCTCATTTTGTCAACTAATCTATATAATTATTACTAAAATAACAACCGCTGATATTACTCCTTTCCCTAAGTGTACACATGTCAAGTTGTGGTAGAATATTTTCCCTCATAAAATATATGTGATGTCATCAATTTTTTTATTTTTATTATTTGTTAAAATTAAGGTATTTAACTAATCCTCCAATTTTATTATTTTTTTTAAAAAAAGCATATGTGTAACTTTTTTTTCTTCCTTTGTAAATTGAAAATTTAGTATTTATTAATAAAGGTGCTTGTGGCGCTCTCAGGCCTCCCACATCGAAAGTTGAGGAGATTGAAGCTATCCTTATATGGTGGTTGATACCTCAAACGCCTTTTGGGTAAGACTTCTTGTCCTAAGCCAAAGCAAATCCTTGCGAACTAGGCTAAAAGATGGCAATATCTACTAGCGGACTCATGTTGACCTGCAATACAAAGAAATAAGTTCAGATTATATAAGTTTAGAAAAAAAATAAAAATACTAAGGGTCATCTAAGTTTAGTTTACTACTCCCTCTGTCTCATAATATAGTTCATGTTGTGTTTTTTTCATGGTATTTCAATGGGAGGATAAGTGGAAGAAGTACATTAAAAGTGGAAAAAAACTAGACAAAGTACAAGGCAAGTGGATAAATTAAGGGAAAAAAAAAAAAGTAAAAAGTACAATTATATACAAAAGTTAGAGAGAGTGGAAAAAAGTAATGGATAAGTTAAGGGTAAATTAGAAAATTCAATGAATAAAGTTAAAAAAATGATGGTATATAGTCTTTACATACTATCCAAAAATAGAAATATCAACGAACAATATTTTGGGTCTCCAAAATAGAAAAACAAAAACTATAATATGAGACGAATGGAACTTGGATACCAAGAATTATAAGTGCAAATGTGCAATTAAGTTGATGCGTTAGTCAAATAAAAACCAATCAATTGAATGGAACTTGGATACGAGTCATACGAGTACATAATTCTTTCTGAAACCCTACATCAGCAACGGCAACTCTCCAGTTGAAGCATACGTAACTTCTGCTTTGAACCCAGGTATTCTCTCTCCTCACCTTCTTAATTTTAAATTTTAATCCAATTTGTTTCATTTCAATGCAATTTACCTTCTTTAATTGTAATTCATAACTTAATCACTGAGTATTTTAATTCGTTAATTTTGTGTTATACTCTGCCTTTGCCTATAAAAATTCAATCTTTAAGCCTAAAATTAATCGAATCCTTGTTTTTTATATTCATAATTTGATGTTCAATTGATTTGTTCGATGTTCTTGGTGTTCAATTGGCTGATTTGATTAAAAACAACCAGCAGTATGATGTATACAGAGTGTTGTAGTTATTGTCATATTGTGATTTCTGTGGTCGATAAACCTAAATTAATGCTAATTTTTCTTTTATTTTTTTGGTCGAATTTGACAGATTAAAATGTCAAAAGTGTTATGTTGGATTTTGTGGAAAAATGAAATTGAGTAGATTTGAGTCACTTGTTGTTGTTGAGTTGTTTTGGAGCTTGTGAAAGTAAGAGTTTGAGTAATGGAATGGGTTGTTGCTTATATATCGGCTGGGTTCGGTGTTACCCATCTTATCACCGAAAACCACAATAAAACAATGGCTTATATGTGAACTTTAACATGATTAAGGTGTTTTTATTATCTGTGCATTCTGGTTTCAAGGTTTTGTTTGTGACTTTTCATCCTAAGTTGTTGTTCTTTCGAACTTTATGTGTTGAGGGGTTGATATTGTGGTCGAATTGTCAATTAATAATGTCTTGTTTCTAGCACTCATAATTGGTTCATATACCTCACAACATTACTTGGTTAACATGCATGGTGTTGCTTTTAGCATAATTATATGCTTAAACTTTCTTTGAGTATGATATTTGGCTGTTTGTCTTATTATCAACTTTTAATTGTCCCATAGATGATTTTGATAATAGTGGATTTATAATTTGTGTAGCTTTAATGTCATTGCAGTTGAGATAAGAAGATGAATTTGTATTGTTATGTGGGCTATGTTGAAGTATATTATCCAAAGGGATCCTAATTGTAATGTTTTGTTCTATGTTTGGGCATGATACTTGTGCATGATGGTAGGATTTAATTGGAGTTTTGCATACTCAAGTGACCAGTCTGACCACACCAGACAAAAGTAAAAACTTCTTATACTTTAGTGTGCCTGTTTGTATGATTGTGTTTGTGTAATGTTGCTTTTGTTTACCCTATATCATAGTCTGCCTTTGTAGTTGATGAAATCTCAGTAAAGAAGGTGGACTCATGGTAAAGAAGTAAAGAACTGGTGGTGCAAGGATTACTTTAATGTTAAATAATGTGATACACAGTTAGTAGATGGCTTGTTTTGTTATTTTTTTTTTTCTTGTAATGGAGAAAGTAGAGGAGTTTGATTGCATCCTTATAGATATGGCATTGGGTGTGCTGTATAATATGGACAGGGAGAAAGTTGCAGCTCGTGGGGGTGTTTTTGTTTTGGCATTTGTATACACCGGAGGCAGGTAGTTGGCGTTCAGAAGGAAGGTTGTGAGAATGAGTTCAGACGGGGACAGGAGCAGGAGCAGGAGCAAAAGTATGAGCAAAAGTAGAAGCAGAAGTAGAAGCAGGAGTCCAGTAGATCGAAAGATTCGTAGTGAACGCCAGTCATTTCGTAGTGCACCTTATGGGAGAGACCAACGTCGGGGTTTCAGGTTTTTTGTTTTTGCTTGTTGGGTTGTTCATTTACCTATTTGCCTAGTTTTTCATATGAAATAGCTGCGGAGAGGTGGTAACTTATTCTATTAAAACACAATATAATGGTATAAATGACGTGAGGTTCTCCTGTTTTGTGTGTGTGACCTCTCTAAAATCATTTCTTTGTACCTCAATGTCTAATGGAATGAAGGGTCTGTCATGGTGTGCTAGTAGTTATGGTACGATGTTCTTCTTCTTTAGGAGTCCTAAGAGTTTGGCGCTAGTACTGAGGCTTTTGGCTTTTGTTTTAGTCGTTTTTCCTCCATATATTTTTCAAACTATGAATGAATTTCTTTGTAAGTTGATTTTATATAGGGATTTTATGTGAAAGACTAGTCACAGATCATATTTGGGATAATTTCTACAGATCTTGAAATTGTTAATTGATTGTTGTGTCTTGATAATAATTCCTTTGAAACCAGTTTGAAGTGAGGTTACTTACAATATGTGTGTTTGTGTGTCGGTGGTTTCTGACATGATTATTTGCATGCAACAAACTCTTTACCTGCACATTTTACATTTTAATTTACAATTGGCTTGCCTCAACTCTTACTTTGGTAAGTTGCATAACAGCCAACATATATGAATCCTGGGATGTAATGTTCTAGGGAAGTCAGATGTTTTTAATAACCAGTCAATTTTTACGACTAGCCCTTTTGGCTAAATGATTTTAAAGAGAAAAGATCTGCGATGGAGAAGTATTTTTGTGGGACAATTCTCTTTAGCTTCAGTGCCTCTGTGCTGATGTGAACTCTTTCCCTTCTCAGTGGACTTTATAATCTGTGGGTTTCTTAAATACTGAGTGAATTTAAATTGGAGTACATTAGGATATAGTTTTCTTGAATACAAAAGTGAACCTATGGCTAAAGATATTTTTCCATACATATCTTATGACTAAAGATGTTGAAAATATGTTTTCAAGAAAAACTAATGTAGTGTCTCCTTAGCTTATTGACTCGGCCCTTTAATTTAAAAGTCAAGTGGACTTCAATAGGGAAGACAAATAGTTAGTGTGGCAGCGCCATGAAAGAAGAAATATATAACGCTTAAGAGAATTCTTGCTAAAACTGATAATAATGAAGAGGCAAAGCGAAGATGAAATAAATTGTAGAACTGGTTAATATGTAAATACTATCAAGATGATACTATGCTCAATGGAGGCTGCATGTGATGTGTAAAAGACCCTTTAACAATGTATTCTTGTCATGTAGGCATTGTTGTTATTGATGGTTAAGTGCTTTTTTATGATTCTTGAAACACTGATTTGTTTTTAGCTGAAGTAAATATGCATGGATATAGGAAGCTTATTTCCAAATATTTATGCTCCCCCCCCCCCTCCCTCCTTCTCTTAACTGAGAATTATGACTTTTCTTGATTGTGTATTTCCTTTCAGCCAGAACAATCTGTGCAAGAATTGCAAGCGCCCTGGCCACTTTGCTAGAGAATGTCCTAATGTAGGCATTTGTCATAACTGCGGTCTTCCTGGGTAAGTATGCTGTATAATTATCATTTGCTTTGAATTGCCAGCACTATCTCTGTTTCTTTGTTTACCTTATATTTCTTTTGCATTTTTTAATTTTTTTTTTTGTGTATACACTTTGTATTTAGTTTCTGTGTGTGTGTTGGGGTGGGGGAAGCTTGGTAGATGTCGTTTCTTGAAAGTTAATCAAGAAACTTGTATAAAAATCTCCTTTCCAAGTCTTGCTGCTTTTTAGAGCAACCTTACCTTGAGTTGAACTATAAAGCTCAAGGTAATAGTTTATGTGCTTGATCAAGGTTCAATTCATGTTTTAGGAAGTTGTAGGGCGATTTGCATAGTGCCATAGACCCTTGTTCCTGCTGCTAATTGCCCTAGTGCCTTGTTATCACTGGTTGTATTTAGTGGGATTGGTTGAGGGAGTTCATTATTATTATTATTTTTATTTTTTCTATCCTGTTTCCTCCTCCCCCCCCCCCTCTCCGCGCGATCTGCCACCTTTGAGCAATTGAGTTAGTCATAAAAACTGTTATGGAAAATGCAGTGATTTTTTTTTTTTTTTTTTTTTTTTTTTTTTTTTTTTTTTTTGTGTTTATAACAAGCATGGTTTTATCATATTTTGTCTGGTTATTTTCTACCAGGCACATTGCCCTGGAATGTACCACAAAGTCTCTTTGTTGGAACTGTCGAGAACCTGGCCACACAGCCAGCAGCTGCCCTAATGAGGGCATTTGCCACAGGTGTGGCAAGGGTGGTCACCAGGCCAGGGACTGTCATGTCCCACCACCGCCACCTGGTGATGTGAGGTTGTGCAATAACTGTTACAAACAAGGCCACCTTGCACCGGATTGTACCAACGAGAAGGCCTGCAACAACTGTAGGAGAACAGGTCATCTTGCTCGAGACTGTACTAACGAACCTGTCTGCAACCTGTGCAACTTGTCAGGACACGTAGCAAGAGGTTGCCCTAAGGCGGATGATCTCGCTGGGAGAGGAAGTGTGGTTCGAGGTGGTGGTGGTTACAGTGGTGATGGTGGTGTTGGTTACAGGGATGTTGTATGCAGGAACTGCCAGCAGTTAGGGCACATGAGTAGGGACTGTGTTACACCAGTGATCTGCAATATGTGTGGAGGGCGTGGTCATCTGGCATACGAATGTCCTTCAGGGAGGTACTTGGACCGCTACCCCAGGAGGTACTGATTGTTGAAGCTTACTGTGTAATGGCTATCCATGAGAACTAGGTATATCGGCATATTTTTTGCCAGTTAGTTGTGTTACCAGAATCTTGAAGTAGACATTTTTTTAGGTTCAGTTAAGGTTTAAGTTAATAAGTTTCAAATTGGTCTTTGAGTGCTGTACTAGTGAATGGAACTTTTAGCATTATTTGAAGTTTGTTGAAGTTGAGATTTGAAGAATTTGAATATTTCAATCTATTTCATTTTATTTATCACACAAAATATATCAAGATTAATAAAAATTGTCTTGTTGCTTTGATCAGTTGTGATTTCTTTTAAAAATTTTGTTTATTTGTTAGCCTTATTACAGATTTGACCCCGGTCTTATGGATGAGTCTTATTGGCTTTGAAGGTGAAATTATATATAAAAAAAACTGTATAAACTTCAAGGTTTAATGTTGATCTCTTCCTTGTGGACGAGCCTTTGCCTGAAGATCGTGCTTGGATCAGTGGATGTAAAAAAAAGAGTCTACGGCTTGATTACGCTTGATAAATAAATTAGCTGGTGTTTTTTAATATGCCTGTTTGGAGCAGCTTACACATACCTGGATCTGTGCTACCTACCTTGTCAAGGTACAATTACTAACCCTTGGAAACTGTCGCATTTCAAAACTTATGTGTGTGTATAATTCTTACTCCTATGCAATTATATTATGGTATCTCAGTAAGTTATGTAATTTGTATGCATTAGTCATAGGTGGCTAAGACATAAGTTCTTGCGATTTGGTGATGAGAGTGCAATATTGTCGCAGGAAAAATGGCCTGCTAGATCGTTACCCCCAAACTTCTTATAGAATGAATCTGATTGTCGATAGGCAATTTGGCACGTTAATGAGCTAACTACAATTTTCTTGGCACGTTTGTCTCCTATAAGTTGCCTAATTAGTCGACAAATAGATGTCAGAAAAGTTGTAAACACTGAGAAGAGTACAACAATATCTCACTCATGTTATCATCTTTCACTAAACACAGGGAAAACCCGAAAAGTAAAATCGAAAGCAAAAGAAGCTTAACTAAGGTTTCAGAAGTTAACTCCTAGGTCCCTCTGTATTCTCTTACTTGAAACATCCGCAAAGGTTTCTTATCAAGAAACTTGCAGACATAACAACCCTTAAAAAGCCAATAAAGAGTCATTTTGCTTACTGCAGACTGAAGATTTCTGCTGTACAACTCTGCTTCTGTTTCTGTTTCAGTTGATTAAGTAATTATTAACAAGAAAATGAAAAGATGAATCTACCAAAACATGTAGAGGTCACTCACATGCAGTTTGATTACCTAAAAAAGCAAAAAGTAATTCTTACAAGTTATAATATAAACAAGATTTGGAAGAATGTTGTTGGTAGGATGACAAAAGTGTGATCCAAGTTTTCTCAGTTGATTCTTCTGATTCAGTGAAATACTGACAAACAGCTGATTGTATGGCCACAACTTTTTTTTATGCTTCGTTTGCTTCCACTCATATTTTTGCTCTCCACTCTCACATTATACAGTACAGTTAGTTGAGGAGAATAGCTTATTTTATGTTGTAAAGTTTTTGTTAGGCAACTTTGAATAATACAATGTCGAGCTGAGTAGTTTGTGAACGGATCATCTCATTTACATCCCTGTGTAATATATGCTATTAGCTTGGAGTACAGTATATGTGATTCATACTAAAACGATGGTCATAAAAGACAATCGTTTTAACTGTTGTTATGTTTTCGATTGTGCAATTCTAGTCGTAAAAACTTCTGTCAGACGATGTTGTCTGGTGTGAATTGCTTCTGTACATGAGATGGATAGAATAATGGAAATCGTTGATCCTTATGAATATGAGATACTAACTCTAATTATTAAGGGCTAACAATCACTAAATTGCCAAGGATGTTTGGCAAAAACAACTTATATGAATTGACAAGCATGGTTGCACATTCTGATCTATAATACTTTCCTATTAGACATGTAAGCCAGAAGTGCTGGTTGTTTCAGTCTTTGTGTTGCTAATTTGTCACAAGCTCAAACATATATTCTTCAGATTGAGGCTTGGCAAAAAACTAACAAATACGAGTACATATTATCATATTGCGTATTCTATAGTGATAAAATACATCGTATGACACTTCTGCATACCATTTTTTATATCGCTGTATGATACAGTACATACTTTCTCATGAATCCTATTATCGATCAGTTGTAGTTATTAGTTGACTTTGATCTAATAATTGATGATAGCCATCAAAGGTCAAGACATGACAATTATAGCTATAACAACACATAAATCCACCCATAATTAGAATATGTATTTATGTGTTATAGTCTTTTTCTCTGTATTTTTGGTTGTTAGTGGTAAAGCAATTATCTCATAGCTGAGGAATCTCCAACTCTGAAGCAAATACAAAGGTCTGATGCAAACTGGGTTTCACGTGCAGCCGCTATTTACTCACAAGAACTACCATTATTCATGCTCTCTTGTAAATTCTTTCCATAGTAAACTTTAAAAAATAAAAAATTAATTTGTTTTCATTAAAAGAAATAAACAAGAATAACTAATCACTTTTTATAGTAGTGAGTAATACGCCATATTAAATACAATATTATTTGTCCCACACTTGTATTACTTGAGAATCTGCAAACCAATCAATATCAAAGTACAACTTTATTAGATTATCAAGTATAAATAATACTTCCTCTATTTTTCTAATATTGCAACATAATAATCGAGTTTTATGCTTTTGAACATACAAATTAAATATTTAGTATATTTAATGTTCAATAAGAAAAATTATTAAATATTTATATAAAGTATAAAATCAATGATTCTAACATGTATAATCTACTGCATATTTCCTTGTGTTTGAATTACAACCGATGGTTAGTAAAGAGTAAATGAATTGTAAAAGCCCAGTTGATGCAATATTGAGGGAATGGAGAAGTAGTATATTTAATTTAGCAGCCTGCAGCCATAATATTGCTTTCCAAAAGCGTGAAGGACACATCAAATTTCATCACATTATTCTCGTCTTATTATTTGGAATGATTGAGTTTGTGGACAATTGTTTTGTTTAATGGTTTATTATCTTAATCTCAAGTTGGAAAGAAAGTGACCATCTTGTACACTACTAGGTTATTTTTTTTTTCATTTATTTATTTATTTGACAAGTGCTAAATACTACTAGTTTTAGTGAAATAGTTTGTTGCAATTGCAATATGTTTATCATTTTATGTAATTATTCATCGTTGGCCTTATTTGGTAGGCAAAGTTTGGTGGCAACTCATTATATTCGAAATTCATGAATATCGACATTAATCTTATGTCTTCTTTTGTGTTTAGCCTTTATCCGAAAAAATAGATAATCAAAAAAATGATAAAATTAATATAGATAGAAGAAAGAAGAAAGATTGGTAGTTTGATATTGTGAACATAATTGAATTACCATAATTTGTATCCATTATTGTGACCTAAAATAACAAAAATCAATGTGTCTAGTTGCTCCAACAGAGACAAACATTCCGTTTGGTTCAAAACTTCAAACTCAATTCTAAATTTAATAAGTACAAAAAGATACTTCATGAAAATTAAACTTGGATTACAATTTATACACTTTGGTTTCAATGTTCTTCGTAACCCTTCTTCTGTTTTAAGTTGCTCATTAGTAGTAAAAACCACACTAAATAAAATACTTCATTCGTTTAAAAAAGACACCCTTGTTTACTGTCATGTAACACTTAAAAAAATGTTGATCATAATTGCTGTTTACTTATTTTAGATATTTTATATAATTTTATTGTTGTGTGAAACCTAAGCTAGCTTGTTGAATTTATTTCAATGTGAAATTTTAATTATCAACTTTATATTTTACCAATAGGATTAAACGAAACCAACCCAATAGTAAAACTTCATAAATAAGTTGAAAAAAATACAAGATGGAAACCAAGAGAGTAAAGCCAACACAATTACTACTAACTTCAACTTTATGCTTATTAATTGGACCTACATATAATAAACTATAGTCTTGAAAATCCTTTTATCAAAAAAAAATTTGTGACTCATATTTTTGCTATGCATGTGACCTTCCCAAATTAAATTACCCATCTTGTCGGTTATTACAACCTTCCCACCCCCACCTCTTCTCTTCTCTTTTTCTCGTGAATAATCCCATTAATATTAAAAAAAATTAAAAAAGACTTAATTTATAACCAATCACAATTTTACACGCAACTACCACCCCCTTAATTTGGCAATAAAAGCCAACTTTCTTCTCAACTAACAAACGCAAACTAAACCTCTCCCTCCAAAAAAAATAAACTAACTTATTAACAACCTTTACTAAGAAAATGATGAAAATGAAACATACATTATTTCCTCATTTTTTTGTTACACTTCTAATGTTGTTACTTACTAGGATGCCATATTTGGTGTACTCATATCATGATTACCATGAGGCACTTGTTAAGTCTATTCTTTTCTTTGAAGGCCAAAGGTCGGGTAACTTGCCCCGAGACCAACGGGTCGAGTGGCGCGCTCACTCGGGTCTCGGGGATGGGTTCGAGCACGGGTTGGACCTTACGGGCGGGTACTACGACGCCGGGGATAATGTTAAGTTTAATTTTCCTATGGCCTTCACCACCACAATGTTGGCATGGAGTGTGGTGGAGTTTGGGGAGTTTATGCCTCCTAGTGAGTTGAGGAATTCTTTGGTTGCTATTAAATGGGCTACTGATTACCTCCTCAAGACGGTTTCCCAGCCCAATAGGATTTATGTACAGGTAATTTAAATGAATTGTTAATCTTATTTTAGTTTATTTTTATTGGTTCGTATACATGGCCGCTTTTGAAAACATTATCTCTAACAGTTCGTACGAATGTGATTAATAGGGATAAAATTGCGTACATCAGCTTGAACTATGTATACTTTGTTGAGTGAAATTATGGATTAATATTGGGTTATTGTTGTAATAGTAGTATGCATGGAGGTATTGTAATTTTGCATTTGGGTTGAGGGTAATGTGGGATTTTTTTTGGTTTGTGTAGGTGATTAATTGGATTTAGAAGTCATAATTAAGTGGGATTAGCCTAATAATTAAGTCACTAGTAGTAGTTAAGGAGTGTGTTGTGGTTCTTGTGTGTGTGAAAAATTTATCTTAGTTTGGACCCACAATTTACTTGTTTATTATTCACAAAAAAGGGGAGTTGGTGGGCCATAGTGAGATATATGGCAATTATCTTGACATTAGAGAGGAGAATTTAAACCAAAATGATAATTAACACATAAAAAAATTCACCTAATAAATATAGTTTTGCTTGTTTGTTATCAATTAGTCATAAGCCATGCAATAAGCCAATTTAGCCATTTTGCATGTTACAGTACTACTCCTTCAGTCTCACCGGAATCATCTTACGGAGTATTCAACAATTTTTCAAAGAGTTTTTTAGGTCAAATAGTCAACACTAGTAAGACAGAAGAAATATACTACTTTCATTTCATATTATTTGCAACTTTAAGGTATTATTTGTGAAATATAAAATATTTTAAAGTTGTAAAAAATATGAACCGAATGTAGTATGTTTCTTACCTCTTATTCTCTTAGTACTCGAAGCTCAACTATAAGGTGTTTAATAATTGAAATGTAAAAGACAAAATGCACATAGTTTGAGATGTTTAGCGTAAATGCTGTCCAGATACAAATTCTAGGAATCTCGTACATGGACAAATGAGTTTGGCAGGAAATGCATATTTCTGCCCCCATTTTTTGCATGGTTATTTATATTCGTTTTTTTTTTTTTTTTTTTTTTAAATTACATATAAATTCATTACCATTACTATCATTTTTGTTGTTCGTTAAATTGTCCTTAAGATTTAAATATGGGTACATTATTTTAGTCTATTTGAGATGCATGAATCTCTCACCGGCATCGTCAATGCAATATGGGACATAAGTCATGTATATATCTTTGGTTCCCTTTGCTCAAGGATCCGCCATTCCCACAAGATGAAGGATTGAGGAATTTGAGGGTCACCCCATATCCTGTTGGGGCTCTGTTTGTTTAGCCATTTATAACAAATCACGCGTGGAGAGTATTAATTAGTACGATTACTTTATAACCTAATTGTACGGCTAGTTTTAAGTCTTAACAATATGTCTCCTTTATTGCATATAATTATCACTGGGTTGTACCATAAAATCACGTGGATGTGAACTAGTCTAGTTGGTTTTTAAATTTGTAAAGTTACGTGTCAGTACTTTATATTCGTACTTTTTTAAACCTCTGTATTAGCACTTGTCTCTTATTCTACTAAGGTTTGTAAAGCCAAATATTTATGATACCGACATTCTTGTTAATTAGTCGTTACTAACTTACGATGTTACGTTATGTTACTTGTGTACATGTAGGTAGGTGATCCAATTAGTGACCATAATTGTTGGGAGAGGCCAGAGGATATGGACACTAAAAGGACAGTCTACATGGTTGATGCACCAAATCCGGCTTCCGATGTCGCTGGTGAGACCGCGGCAGCCCTGGCAGCTGCTTCAATGGCCTTCCGATCAGCTGACCGTGGCTACTCTGAAACCTTATTAAGAAATGCCCAAAATGCATTTCAATTTGCAGATAGCTTTAGAGGAGCTTATAGTGACAATTCAGATGTTAAAGGTGGTGCCTGCCCTTTCTATTGTGACTTTGATGGATATCAGGCAAGTTATTTCATAATAATCCTTTAATTAATCAACGATTATAATTAGACTGTTATATAAATTAAACGAACACAAAGTATTGGATGTATGTAAAGTATATGGTGTTACCAAATAGACGTGTCATATAGTCGAGACTTAATAAATACATAGACGTAAATTAAAATTTAATTAATGATTATTGACAAGACTAGAACAATAAATAAATTAGGTGACATTACAGCTGAATAAATCATTTCATAATCTATAAATATAGTTATTAGAAACTGTCTAATCAATTTACTATATGTTAGTCAATTAACTAACTTTAATTTTATATTTATTTTTGGCAGGATGAACTACTTTGGGGAGCAGCATGGTTGAGAAGAGCAACTGAAGATGACACATACCTTAATTACGTAGCAAGTAATGCCCACACTCTTGGGGCTGATGACAATATCAATGAATTTGGTTGGGACAATAAACATGCTGGCCTTAATGTACTAGTCTCCAAGGTTGGTAACATTTTCTAACCCTCTTTCTTCTTATAACTTCCAAATAGCTTTGAAATCATATATAGCATTATATAGGACATTGTTATGGGTTCAGTAATGATGTACATGTTCGGATTTGATACTCAGATGCATTCTTATTTTGACGGAACTTGATTTATCTCAATAAAATCCCGTGTCATCTTTGATCTTTGTTAATTGTTTGATGATTATTGACAAGACTAGAACAATAAATAAATTAGGTGACATTACAGCTGAATAAATCATTTCATAATCTATAAATATAGTTATTAGAAACTGTCTAATCAATTTACTATATGTTAGTCAATTAACTAACTTTAATTTTATATTTATTTTTGGCAGGATGAACTACTTTGGGGAGCAGCATGGTTGAGAAGAGCAACTGAAGATGACACATACCTTAATTACGTAGCAAGTAATGCCCACACTCTTGGGGCTGATGACAATATCAATGAATTTGGTTGGGACAATAAACATGCTGGCCTTAATGTACTAGTCTCCAAGGTTGGTAACATTTTCTAACCCTCTTTCTTCTTATAACTTCCAAATAGCTTTGAAATCATATATAGCATTATATAGGACATTGTTATGGGTTCAGTAATGATGTACATGTTCGGATTTGATACTCAGATGCATTCTTATTTTGACGGAACTTGATTTATCTCAATAAAATCCCGTGTCATCTTTGATCTTTGTTAATTGTTTGATGATCAGTTTCATTGATGATAGATGTGTTTTATTTGCATGAGGTAAGAAATAAGGTCAATCTTCTTTCCAAGTGTTGGAGTTGGACCATGCTAATTTATCATAATGCATGCATCTTGAATTCTTGGAAATCTGTTTTTTGTTGGGCCTACACAAGATATGATAGCGTATTCCTAGGATCATGTTTGGTAGAGTCAATTTCTTTCTTTTTGTACATTTATTTAGAGTCAATTTCTTTCTTGTACATTTATTTCTAAGTTGCTATGATTTTTTGTGATGCTCAAGGCAATTGAATTTACTTGTCTCCCTTACAATCTTTATGATAGTTTAGCAAATGTTGCGTACATCAAAATCGTTCTAAAGCATTTGCGAAACAAAACATGTTATTAGGTCCTTATTTGTTCTATCGATTGAATTAATAATATAAATATTGATGTTGCAGGAAGTGCTAGAAGGAAGCACATACTCTCTACAACTCTACAAATCATCAGCAGATAGTTTCATGTGCACATTAATCCCCGAAACCTCATCTTTCCACATTGAGTACACCCCCGGTGGCCTCATCTATCGCCCGGGGGGCAGCAATCTCCAACATGCCACAACCATATCTTTCCTCTTACTCGTATACGCAAAGTACCTCGATAAAACGTCTCAAACCGTGAATTGTGGTGCCGTTAGCGTTGGGGCCGACAAGCTCCGGCGAATAGCTCAAAGGCAGGTTAACTACATCTTGGGTGAGAACCCCATGGGAATGTCCTACATGGTAGGATATAGTCTCAAGTACCCTCAAAGGATTCACCATAGAGGTTCATCATTACCTTCTATTAAAGACCACCCTCAGCCCATTGCTTGCAAAGAAGGGTCCATTTATTTTAACTCGACCCAGCCCAACCCAAATGTCCACATCGGTGCTGTTGTGGGCGGGCCCGGGGAGGATGACTTGTATGACGACAATCGGGCTGATTTTAGAAAGTCCGAGCCCACCACCTACATTAATGCCCCATTAGTTGGGGCCCTAGCTTATTTTACAGCTAATCCAGGCCCAAATTAGTGATAATGAGCTACTAATCACATTTTGTATATACAAAAATGAGTAGCGATTACATCTTCCACCACACTTGGACAATCCCCCGTCCATACTCTAGTTGAAAACTCGAGCAGGGTAAGGTGAGCCATAGCATGTGCTACGATAGCCTCAATAGTTTTTTTTTAATGTACATGGGAAGTGTCTCTCATCTTGTGTGAAGCCGAGAAGGAAGAGGCTTATACATTTTTTTTTTTTTTACTTTTTTTGAAGAGAGAAATTAAATTTCGATTGAGGAATGGAAATCCTCTTACAAGTCACAATAAATCATTGTGATTTTGCTTTATTTGTGTGATCACATAGACTTGAGTTTGATGTAATGAAATGGTGATGCCAACACTTGGTACTTCCAAAGTCAGTTAAAAGAATATAAATATAGTACTATTTCGTACTTTTTTTTTTGACATACATATGCTTAGTTGTTAATTAACAATATTACAAACTATTCAGTTATTGAAGAATGGCTTTACCCTCTTGAGTCTTGAAGAATTGTTTATTTGATTAATGTATGTGTAATTTGAGCTCTTGAAGAATTGTTTTTATAATCAATGTTAAGATGTGTGATTTTATGCTCGTTGGCAAATTATGTTTAGGTCTTGTGTCATATCCTATGTGCTAAGATGTGTAATTTAATACTGGTCAACAAACATATTATCAAATGAATTAACGGCCTATGTGTTATTCACTTATTCTTGAAGGATTGTTTATTTAACAAGAATTTCAACTAAATTAATGAAATATAGTTAGTTTCCATAAGTAAGACAATTATGTTCAAATATTTGGAGACCATACACATTAAATGAGTGGGGAATTAATTTTGATCGAATGACTGAAAATTGGACAAATAAGTCAATAAATTCGGTGGCTCGGCCGATAAAATTCGTGGAGAGATATGTATGGATAATATATATATATATATATATATATATATATATATATATATATATATATATATATATATATATATATATATATATATATATATATAAACAGCCTTTTTTTTTTTTTTTGAGGAAAATATAAATAGCTAATTTTATTCAAGTACAAGTACAAGTACTCATATAATTTGAAAGACAATGTTAAGACATTAAATTCGACAATGACGCTATACATAGTGTTTTAAGCTTGAAAAATAATTGTATAACATTTAAAAATCTAAATAATGCGAGTAATTAAGAAAGTTGGCATTTGAATATAAATTTTTTATAAAAGAAAAATAGGGAAGTTGGCATTTGATTCCTGTCGATGAAAACAACTACATGCATTAATTGACTACTTACGTACCATTGACGTATTGCACCGTACGACCATATTAATTGTAGTTATTAGTAGGGTATACGGTACGGTTGGGTCAAGGACCTAATTAATCAAGCTTGATGTGATTAGCAACAAGCATTTGAGAGTGTAAGATAAATATCGAGAGGTTGAGATCAAATATCGTCAATATCATTTGCTTTTTTAGTGAATCTCTTTCATTCTTCACAAATGTACTTGTAATTGGAGTTGAAACAAGGTCACCATTAAAGGCCATTTATGTTTACTTGGCACAACCACGGCAAGATCCTTCTAGGAGGCTAAGTGTAATATCCCGTATTTTTATACGTATTTAATTTAAATAAGTATTTCTTAAAGTATTTAAATAATTCGAAATGAATTATTTATGGTGTTCCATTAATTTAAAAAGAATTTTTTTTTTCTTTTGAGAAAACGTTGTAGGTGCCTTATATTGATATTGATAATTTGTCCATTAAGACATAGGGAGAAACCTCACAAGGGACGTGGTTTTCCCAAACCTAATCAACACCAAAAGGCGTTAAATGGGCTAAGTTATGAGCTACAACATTTCCATCATGTTTAACATGACACCAAACAACAAAAGAAAAAGAAAGACAAGAAGATAAAGTCTCCTCTAAAATTGCATCAAGGTCCATGAAGAAGATCGATGCTTTGGATAAGCGGGAGGACTTGGCTATCCGATTCGATTATAATCTCTGTCAAGCCATAGCGCTTTGCAATTTGTAATGCTAACTCAATCGCTTTCCCTTCTGCAATAATTGGAGACCAATGGGCTCTCACTCTCCTGGTCACAGCAAAAAGGGTGTCCCCCTTCCAGTCTCTAGCAATCACCCCCATTCCTACCCAACCTTCAACACCCAACGAAGCATCACAATTGAGCTTGATAATGCATTTCGGTGGTGCTTTCCAAACTTTGGAGTTGCGCCATGGATGCCTTTTGATCCCTCTGTATATCCTCTTCATGTAAGAGCTGCTGTCAGCCGCAAGGCGGTGGGTACGCTCAACAATAACAGGGTGGTAAACCTCCTTGCCATTGAAGATCATCTCGTTTCTCCGATTCCATAAGTACCACATTAAAATCGCACCTCTACTCACCTTCTTTGCATCTAACTTACTCCATGATTCAATTAAAAAGAATTATTTTAACTAAAAGTTTATTTTTAATTATTTAACAATCTTGAAAATATTTTATTTCATGATTTGGAAACTTTGGGCATATTTTTATATAAAAGGAAATTTTAAGGTCAATAAGTTTATACAGAAAGTCAAAATACTAGTTTGAATAGGAAAGGGATCATTAAGGGTAAAAAGGAAATTTAAGTCTAAGAGGGTTTTAGAAAAGGGAGTATAAATACCCATTATCACATGGGCAAATTAACTTTGCCCTAGGTGGAGAATACCCAAAGGTAACTCTCTTTCTCTCTCCTCTTATTTTTCTATCTTTTTCTCTTAATTTTTCCCCTTCCCTTTTATTTTAATTTTAATTTTGTTTCATCACCACCCACGCACACCACCGCCGGCCACCACCACATACCACCGGCCGGTCACCGCAGCCACCATCGAGCACGCCGGTAGGTGCGGCGACACCGGCGGGCGCGGTAGCAGCCCAGCCGTGTGTCGTGGCTGTTGGTGGTCGAACAAAAAAAAAATCTTTTTTTGTTTTTAATCCTAATCTAGCCTTGATCTAATTATTGGTTTTGGGTTTTGTGATGATTTTTATGATGTTTGATAATAAGTATTTTGTATATAAATTTTCAGATTTGATTTTGAATTAAAAAGCCCCAAATTATAAACCCTAGGTTTCTAAGTTTATGTATATCGATGGAAATTGTTTATGGGTGATTTAAATTATTGAAATAAGTGTTTTAAAACACAGTTACAACAATTTTAGATGATTTAATAAAGCTGGAATTTTTATATATAAGCTATAATCATATTTCTTGAAAGGATTTTTAATTACCCATTAATTGGGAATAAAAGTAAGGGTTTTAAATTAAATTTTAGCTTGTTTTAGAGGAATATGAGTGATTTAAAGAGTGTATATATTGCTAGAAATTTGTGTGGAATAGGTATTAATGCCTCTTTGTAATTTTGGTTTGTAGGAGACTTTCAAGTGAGTGATTTTATTTAGTCGGGTGATTTTGAGATCATATTCAAGGTACGTTCGCGTACTTGGTAATTATTTGAATATGTAGAAGCATGCTAGGATTTGTTTAATTAATTCCAAGTAGTATCATGATAGGTGTTGGTTGGAATCTGATTGGATTGATGTTGGTAAATGATTTGTGATGTATGAATTGTTTGTGATGAATTGGTGATTGGAAATTAATTATGTTGGCATGTTGATTATGAACCACACTTTTATTATTGGCATGATAAAGAGCATGTTTAATTAAACTAAATGTTTAATTTGGTTTGGAATATGAAAAGGAAATTTTATTATGGTTCATATAATTTTTATTGATGCTATAAGCATGAGGGAGGAGCTATTTAAGTGTCTTAGTACACAGGAATATATTATATTGTGATGCCTATGTGCACTTAAGGTGTTATTTAACACTGAGGGATAGGATTTACGGCACATTATGCGTTTAAGGTGTCTTTGACACCGAGGTAAATTAAAAAGGGTTCAACAATTAAATTTATGTGGTCACTAATTATTCAAGAACTAAGTTGGTATGTTTGATTGCTTGAATGAATTATAATGTTTGGTTGTGTTATGGTTTGAGAGTCATCACCGAGTATAATAATATGTAAACAACGTAAAGTGAAAGAGATTACGCACCAAAACTCTTGGAACGTATATACCTTGAGTATGAACATATGGGGGGAGTTATGCGACTTTATATTTGACCATAACTTCTACTGGGAGTACAAGACGTTGTATTTTCATTTTTATTTATTTTATGTGCAGGACGTCCAATCACTTCATGTGACATTTGCCTACCCGGTTAGCTCCCGGTGTAGTTTACCTCAATTTATTTGGGGCAGGAATTTGGATGAAAACCCGTTTGATGCGTAATCAAAAATAAAGCGGACATTGGTGTTTGTCTAGTTAAGTGTTGAATGTCTTGTATGCTTGTTTACAGGTGCAACAAGGTAAGTTGTGTGATGATAGGATGAAATCATGTTAGTGTGTTTTGTTACGCTTATTTACCCAGCATTGCTGATTGTGTGTTGTATGTTTGTTTGGCTTTGTCTTTACCTTGGCCCTACAACGACCCATTTCTAATGGCGAGTAGTGGGGACAAGTAGAAAGTAGTTTTTCAGGTGATGAAGCATTTTCATGGTGGGCATGAGCGAATCATGCTTAGTTTCTATAGGAATATGATGTGTTTTATTTACAATGGTTCCAAATTGTAGGTTGACTTTGTTTGACTTTACTTTTGTTGGTTTGACTTTTAAGTTGACTTGTTTTGAATGGTTTTAAAAGATAGACTTCCACTTTGTGTCTTTTATTATTGCCTTAGCCGTTTTCACAGTGGCGGTAATGTCTAAGATTTTCCTATTTTGTATTTCTAGAGTTTTACACTAAGGCCCTGTTCTTTTGAACTTTTGGCAGAACAGGGATTAGCATAGCAGAGCAGATATCGGCAGAGCAAATAAGGACTTCCAACACATTGCAGAGCAGATTTAAGTAGGGCAGAGCAGAGTAGTGCAGAGCAGAGAATATTTCAGTAGAGCAAAGCAAGACAGAGCAGCTCAAAAGAACAGGGTCTAAGAGTGGTTTGGAGTTATTTTTTTTGTTAGTGGTTTTGTTTCTAGGGAAAGTTACTATATTTTCTTAAAATTAATAGAAAGACTGTTAGGTACAAGTATGAGTATATTGCCTAATCCAATAAAGATGAAGTCAAATGTCTTAAGTTAATAACCCCACACTAAGTGAGCTATTCCTTCAAATAATGCAAACCGGTATTTGGATCAAGAATGAAACCTCACTTTTTGTCTCTATTACTCAAATTTTAATACTCATATTATCATATATGATTTAAATACGTGTGCAAGTGTCAGACTCGACTATTAAAAACTTTGAAAACTTTTTATAATAATATCCCAAACAAAAAGGGGGTGTATTAATGAGTTAAGAAAAAGAATAACGTATTAACATGAGAGTGAAAAATATACACATTGCTTTAAATTAGAGTGCAAAACAGCCAATAATATTTTTATCAAAATAAAAATAAAAATAAAAATGTGAGTACGTACCAAACTTGAGTCACATGAATACATGCATGATACTTTGAAAAATTGATGATAGTGCTTAATTAAACTGGCAGCCCAAAATTATAAGACGCGTTTAAAGATATATACATGTAGTTTGCCAGCCCAAGATTTTGCCTGTGATTTCACTTCAATTCAAAGATCCTTTGACTGTCAACACGTGTCACAATAAGAACACTCAATACAGCTCACCTGTTTACATGACTCAACCTTTGTTACAGGTAAGTGTTTCGGGGTTTTCTGATGTCCTGCGGGAGAGTTACAATTTCGGGACTGGTATCCTTGCGCCTGTACCTGCAAAACAACGAAGACTCCTTGTGGTGGGAGCTCCGCCTCCAACGGTCAAGTTAGTACTTGTTTGAGGAGTAATAAATGCGGAAAGTAAAGGTGGGAGATCTGGTTCCTCTAGGGGAGGAGTGATCAATGTGTTTAGACTTCTCTAGGTGAGAGTGTTCCCCCTGTTTATGGAGGCTAATGACATGTTTATATAGCCTCGAAGTACGTGCCTAATACTAGGTTTTCTGGGTAAACCTAGGACTGATTAGGCTTGCCTCGGGAATTGGGCCTGCGATGGCCGTTTTCCAGGTTGGCGAATAATGGGCCACATGATGTGACCTGATTAGTCCATGTTGGACCTCTTAGGGTGACAAGTGGCGGACGCTGATTGGCCCATGTGGTGGACACGTGGCAGGTCCGGATTGGTCCATTTGTCATGGGTAATTTTACCCTAAACATTTCCCCCTCGGAAGGAGTTATTTCTCTTTCCAGGAGAGATTGCTCCTTTCGAAAGTTAGACCCTCGAAGCTTTGCTAGGTCGGCATCTTGTCTAGTTCTAATGGGAGATGGAATTGATTAACTTAGAAAATTTTGATACCTTGGGCGGTATGACATTTTCAAAGTTAATCAATCATAATAATGATTGCCGCCGAACTAGACAGATGCCGATTCTTTGCCCCACTATGCAGATAGCCCCTGATCAGGTGGACTGTCAACTATTGCATAAGGGGTAAGCGTTTAGCATTATTCGGCCATTGGCCTCTTTTGATTCAATATACTAAGTTTGGTACTTAGTTTATTTCGTTAGGGGATGGCTGGTCGTCTGCTTTGGTGGCTGCATAGAAGCAGGCGTCAGACAGGACGTCCAACCAAAGTAGCTACGCCTGTTGGGTTACAGACGGAAGCTTTTAAGTATAGCCAACCTAGTAAGAATAGTGGTCGAGTACCTCTGTTTACCAAAAAACAGGCGGACTCCTCATACCTTTTAGGTTCCGTACTAAGGAGGGCGACTGGTTAACCTTGCGGTTAGTCAATCACTGCCTATTTTGTTTGAGTGGTAGGGAAACCAGACGGCGGGGGCCGGATAGTCCCCTTGATTCGCCAAGTTTTGCTTGGCTATTAACTCAAAGGTTGTTAACCTAGCAGGAGTAGTGGTTGAGAGCCCCTGTTTGCTAAAAACAGGTGGGCGACTCATACTTTTTAGGCTCCATACTAAGTTTGAGGGAGTGACTATAAGTTAACATAGGAGTTACTTAGTCTCCGTCACACTCTAGCTTGAGTAGTAGAGGTACCAGGCGGCGGAGGCCGGCTGATCCCCTTGATTCGCCAATGTTTGTTGGCTATTAACCCAATGAGTGGTTACCTAGTAGGAATAGGGGTTTGAGTGCCCCTGTTTGCCAAAAAACAGGCGGTCTACTCAAACCTTTTAGGTTCCATACCACGTTTGAGGGAGTGACTATGAGTTAACGTTGGTGTTACCCAGTCGCCGTCACTCTTGCTTGAGAAGTAGAGGTACCAGGCGGCGAAGGCCGGCTAGACCCCTTGATTCGCCAATGTTTGTTGGCTATTAACTCAAG